CCCATGCCCATCGACTTCTTCTCCTTTGACGCCATCTCTGTCCGCTGGCGCCTCCCTCTACGTCGTCGCCGGCCGGCCACACGCCTTCCCAGACCCCATCGACTTCCGCTCCTTCGACCCCACATCTTGATGCTGGCGCCTCCTCCCTCAAACCCCGACCTGCCGCGCTTCCTCTTCCGCACCCTCCTCCGCCGCCCACGGCGGCCACCGCCACCACTCCTCCTGTCGGGCTCACTTCCACTTTCCAAATCTCAAATTTCATTTCCGGATCTCAAATTTCCAATCTTAATTTCTGAATAATCAATTTTAATTGAAGGATAAAAAAGTGATTTCAATTTAAAAGATATGGTTACCAACTTAAACCAAACAAGATAATAGATTAATTGAATTGGTGGATAGCCTTTGATACAATCTTTTTGATTATATCATGCTCAATCCATTATTGTAACCAAACTCACCCTTATAGTAGAAAGATAATAAACTAAATATACAACTAACAACTAAAAATTAACAATAAATGATTAATTAAAATAATACTCTTATTTTATACTCAACTGTTAAAATGATAATTTTATTAGACACACACACACACACACACACACACACACACACACATATATATATATATATATATATATATATATATCTGTACAACTCAATAATTTAATTTTGAATTAAGTTTTTTTCAAATGTGATTATATTGTAATTGTACTTTATATTTATACAATTTTCCTCCCTTATTTAAATGTTTTTTAAAAATATCTTCAACTTTATAATATTCAACAATTTAAAATATAATGTGTATGAGTGTAATATTTTAAACTTTATGAAATAAAATAATCATTTTTATAATTATAATTATAAAGTTTCTTTATTTTTTTTCACGATCATAATGTTTCTGTGTGGTCTTTATTTAAGTCGAGACATAAATTTTAGAATATTTTTTTATACTAATTGATGTTTATACTTAGTTTATTTATTTATTTTTTAAATAAAATAGCTATATTATGGTATGTCATACACATAATTTTTTATTGCTTTATAAGATAAAATATAATTTTATTTGATATATTTTAATCTAGTTTGATAAATCATTTTAGATTTTATTTATAAGACTATATATCTCTATTTTATACTTTGTATATATAATATGAATGTCAAATTGAAGATCATTAAAAGATAAATAAATTGATATATTATATATAAAAATAAAATACAAACCAAAAAAAGTAATAAAATATTAAAAATAAGAAGAATAAATATTTATAATAATTTAATTGATGTATGAATTAAATAAGGAAATAAAATTCGTCGTTCCTTGTCTCGAATCTATTCTAGTATCGCATGGCATCTGTTTCACTGTGAAGACCGAATGTTGGATTATTTTGGTTGAGACAATTTTACCCACAAAACTTCAGGCCAATCGAAATTCATCAGCTCCTTCAATTTTCAATCCAAATTTACTTGTTCCTTTTTCGAGGGTCGTTTCTATGATGTCCAAAATTTCAACTCAATTGGATTAATTACGTCAAGACTATTGTACTATACCGTGGAGAGAATTTCTCCACTCAAATTTACATTTGAAGTTCATGCACACAAACTCATGTTGCTTATGGGTTTTGATTTGCATACAACTCGTGATAAGTTTAAGTAATTCGGCCATTATTTCATCTCTCATGATTAGTGTATTTTTTATGTTTCTCTCTCTCTCTTTTTTTTTTAAACGATAATATTTTATAAAATTTAAAACATGAGTATAACTGAGATGACCTCTCCTTAAACTTACAATCAACCAAGGAATATGACAAGTAACACACAAAACACTCAAATATTAGTGACTAAAGGCACAACTCAGATACAAAAAATCAAAAGAAAAAATAAAAACACGACACACATACAACAAGATATGGGATACCATACTAGGTCGACTTGACCAGAGAAGTGCACTTACCAAACCAGGTGACTTGGCAAGTCGACTGGAGACTGATGATACGGGGTCGACAAGACATTAGGTCGATGGTGACTACGCTGATAAGAAGGCTCGCCGACAGGTCAAGCTAGGGCCACCCCCAGATAGTCTGGTTAAAGCTCGACCCAAAAGCGGGTCCTGAAAAATCAGAGGCTCTGGGCTATATGATAAATAGTGCCCCTATAAAAGAAAAGGAAACAAGCATAATGGTCAACCAAATTAACATTCTAACAAAAAATTACAAAGTCCAGAACATGTCCAAATTAATCTACATACTGTTAGTTAATGTGAAAAATTAGGACAATCGAAAAAAAAATTAGAGTACTCTGCAAAATAAAATTACTGGCAGCCGGAGTCCAATTCCCGCTTGCGGCGAACCCCGTCAATTTGAAGCCGTTGGTTAAATTCGAATCTAATTTCATAGGCTCAAATGCAATTTTCCCTGTCAATTATTCCCCTCTCTTGTTGTCGCACCTCTATTGCACCCCGTCATATAAACGTGAATGTGTCTGAGAGTGTGAATATGCGAGTATGTGTGTGCGTGTATATGGGAGAAGAAGAAAAAACCGAAGAAGGAAAAATTTGGATAAGAAAAAAGAAGTAATTAACAAAAAAGAAGAAGAAGAAACACTGTTATATGTGTATATGAGGGAAGAAAAAAACTGGGAAGACAAAAAAACTAAAGAAGGAAAAATTTGAAGAAGAAAAAAGAAGAGGAAGAAGCAAGATAATNAAGAAAAAAAAATGGGAAGAAAAAAAAAACTAAAGAAGGAAAAATTTGAAGAAGAAAAAAGAAGAGGAAGAAGCAAGATAATAGAAGAGAGAGAAAAGAAAAAAAACTAATGGATGAGAGAAACCGGAAGAAAAATAATCGAAGAGAGAGAAAAGAAAAAAACTAATATAAAAGACATTCTTATTGACTCGATAGCCCTAAAAAATTGTGTCTTATATTTTCACTTTGGTGCCCCTCAAAAATTGTATTTTGGGTGGGCCTTGGGCGGTCGCCCTACTGGCCCTGCCCCAGGGCCGACTCTGGCTCGACCTGAAGGTATGAGATTGATGGATATATCAACCTGGGTGACAAAAGGCCAAAGCTCAATGCAGAAGACACTTTATCTCGAAAGAAGTCGTGTTGGTCAAATGATTAGACCGCCTACAAGGAAGAATAATTTATAAGACGAAATATTATTAAAATAAGAACCATACGTGGATTACACCACGTGCCTTAATAGGATCGAGCAGTTCGAACACTTGGGCAGTATGATTAGCACTTCCAGCACTCGGGTAGCCCATCAGAGCAGGTTTGAGCAACAAAATACCATTCCTATATAAAGTAATGAGGTATGACAATTCAAACTCTACACACTCTTTATATTTACAAAGCTTGTATCTACTGTTCATTGTCTTTTTCATCACTATGGAGTGACTCAATCGTCGGAGTGCTAACGCCCAGAACTCTTCTTGGCCCATTTTGCAGATCTATAAATAGATAAAAAATCGATCAAGATCGTGCGAAGCTAGATAGAGGTCATTTGCACACCACAACATAACTAAATTAGTACTTTGTATAGAAAGAGTTACAAAATTAAATTTTTGCTCCCACCAATACAATTGATTGAGCACTATACCTATAAACCAAAAGGGGCTCTCTCACACATACTACACCAAAAATATCTGTAAAATTCATAAGCCCAAAAACACACATCAATGGCGGTTTCAAATCCCAACATTGTGATTTTGCCTTTCCCAGCTCAAGGGCACATCAAGCCGATGCTCATGCTGGCCGACCTCCTCACCGGCGCCGGCCTCCCCGTCACCTTCGTCAACACCGAGCACAACCACCGCCACATCGCCGACCACCGCCGCCGCCGCCCCGCAGTGGAATTCCTCACCATACCCGACGGCCTGCCGCCGGACCACCCCCGGTCGGGAATCTTCTTAATCGACCTGTTCTCCTCCATCGTCGCCGCCGGCGGGCCCGCCCTCAAGACCCTGGTAGCCTCCATGAGGCCGGCGCCGGCGTGCATCATCTCCGACGGGATGATGTCGTTCGCCGTCGACGTGGCGGCGGAGGTCGGGGTACCGGCCGTCGCATTCAGGACCTACAGTGCCTCCTGCACATGGACGACCCTTCATCTCCGCCGACTTGTCGAGGACGGCGAGATTCCGATTTCTCTCGGTATTTGATTTTTCATTTCTTTTCTCCTTGGTACGTGGACCCATTTTTGTCGGTTTATTTTCAGTCAACAAAATTGTTTTGATAGTGGCATTTTTTTAATAATACATTATAATTTATAATACAAGTATTAATAAATAAGTTTATAATTGTGTAATTCAAAACACCTAATTTCAATTAATTAATTTTAGTTACCCACTTGACTAGAATACTAGGGTGCTCTCAAAGTCGAACCTAGCCGAGTAATTAATGTTTGAGCAATGTTTATTAGTAAACCTTAAACAAGTTGTTTGTGCATATGCAATATTGTCCATTCACTGAAAAAATTGGTTCGGCTATTTTAATTTAAAACTCATAAAAGATAATAAATAAATAAAATAGAATTGAGGTGTTTGCGAATTCGATTAGCTTGGTTTTGCATATTATAAAAAGCTCGATTGGGCGTCTAAGCTCGACTGGTTAAGTAAATGGATGATCTGAACATAAGTTTGATGAATCGAACTGAATTGCGCAAGGGCGAAACTACATATATATTAGGGGGGGCAATTGCCCCCCCTCAAATTTTAATTTTTTTTATTATTATAATTAAAAAATCTAATTTTCTTTAAATTTTTTTACTATTATAATTAAAAAAAATTAATTTGCCCCCTCTTAAATTATGTTTTGCACCCCCAAATTTTTTGCGATGTCTTTTTGCCCCCTGTCAATTAATTTCCTGGTTTCGCCCCTGGAATTGCGTATCGAAATGATTGTTTGGTTGAACAACTTTACCATAAACAAGTTGTTGCAAATTAATATTACCCATACGTACACGTGGACGAGCTAATACCATTCATTCCCGGGCTCAAAAATATCATGAGACGTCGTGATCTTCCGCATATTTGCAGATTGGACCCTGAGAGCCCCATTCTGCAATATTACCTCGACCAAACCTCAAAAATGGGTCAGGCCTCTGCCCTCATACTCAACACTTTTGAGGAACTCGAGGCGCCCATTATCTCCCACCTCCACTCAATCTTCCAAAAAATCTACGCAATTGGGCCACTGCACATTGTCCCGAGGCCCATTGGGCCTCAACCTGGGGCAGACACTTCCCACAACTCCTCTAGCCTGTTCCAGACGGACCAATCGTGCATGGGCTGGCTCGACTCCCAACGGCCCAAATCGGTCCTGTACGTGAGCTTCGGCAGCGTGGCAGTGCTAACCCGCGACCAATTCACAGAGTTCTGGCATGGGCTCGTCGACAGCGGGAAGCCGTTCTTGTGGGCCATAAGGCCCAATTTGATCGCCGACGACAATAATGGGCCCAATATTGCCACTCTTGATGAGCTGAAGGCGGCCACTCCTGTGAGGGGACTGATAGTGGGTTGGGCCCCGCAAGAGGATGTTCTGGCCCACGATGCCGTGGGCGGGTTCTTGACGCATAGCGGGTGGAACTCGACTTTGGAGAGTATGACAGCCGGCAAGCCCATGATCTGTTGGCCTGCGATTGCGGACCAGCAGGTCAACAGTAGGTGCGTGAGCCATATGTGGAAAGTGGGGCTCGACATGAAGGATGTTTGCGAGAGATCAACGGTGGAGAAAATGGTGAGGTATTTGATGGAGGGCGGGAGGGAGGAGTTGTTGAGATCGACGGAGGAGATTGCTCGGTTGGCTCGGGAAAGCGTTCGTGATGGCGGGTCGTCTCATCGCAATCTTCAAAAGTTGATTGAGGATATAAAAGTTGGTGCTTTCCTCTAGGTAGGGATATCATGGCCAAGGGAATGATTAGTTTTATGAGTCGAACTAAACTTGTTAGCAATCTACTAACAATTTAAATAAATTTGTGATTTATGTGAGTTCAAGTATTCATAAACTTACATTTAGCATGAGTTGATTCCTAGATTTATATTCAACATTGGGAAAAAATAATTAGCTTGTAATCATATAAATCTATATATCTCCCACGCCCAATTTATTCTATTTTCTACTCAAAGGGCATTTAACAAACTTTAGTACACGTCAATAGAAGAAACAAAAATCAATCTGGAACTCATCTATATAATAACCAAACTTGATCAATAATATTATGTATTTCATTATCATTATACTCTTCAAAATAACTCACTCTAACTCAGAATCAATTTTAATCGATTTTTACTAGTTTTAACTCCCTACCATTCACCTCCTTATTAATCTCACTTTGATAGATTAATCACCGAATAAGGCTTTTTAAGTAATTTCACTACTGTAGTGTTGTTATTGTTGTTGTAGTTATTATTGTTATTATTTTGGTAGCAGCAGGGATGATAGTATCTTGTTGCATGTAAATTGATTTCAAGATATTATTTTTGTACAAAAGCATTTGCGATGCCATACTGGGTCAACCCTACCGAAGGAGTGGTCTAACTGAACCAGGAGAACCGGCAGGTCGACCGAAGATCGAAAGTACGAGAGGTCAAAGAGACATTAGGTAGATGGTGACAATGCATGTAGATGGGATCGCCGAAGGTCGAGCTATAGCCCTCAGATGGCCTGGTAGAAACTCGACTTGGAGATATGCAGGTCGACGTATCGACCTAAAAGACAGTGTGCAAGAAGCATAACGAGAAGGTGTTGGAATTTTAACCTTATCCGAATGAAAACATCGTTTTATCCCAAGAGCATTCATATCAAATAATCAAGATCCAAATTAAATAGCGGAAGGGTACCTGAATTCATTTGATTATTTGCTTGAGAATTCTCGTGTGTTATGTTCCTCCAAACGATCTTGTTGGAATGATATGGTTTTCCAACCGATCGAACCTTAATTATAGCATATTTTGATCCATAGTGTTTATATAATGTATGTATCTTTATTTGTGTATTCCATATGTCTATGAAGTTTGATGGTGGGTGCTTTTAAAGGGAGAAAACACCTATTCATAAATTTGTTCGTACCTTTTCGTCGTGTGGGGCATAACCAAATAAATAATAATTATTGATTTTCAGTTCAGTCCCTCAACAAACAGAAAATTCTATAATGGTATCTACACTTTTAAATGCATAACAATTTGATACTCTTTTTATTCAAAATCATAAATTTAGTAGATGAGAACAGTTCGAAATTGGCCCCAAGACAAACTACCGTAGGAGGTTTATTAAAACCACTGAATTCAGAATATGGTAAAGTAGCTCTGAGATCTTTTTTCATTCATTTCTATCCAATCACCCATTCCCATCCAATCAAAATAAACTTCGGGATAATTTGGCGGATTTTTTTTTCTGGAATCAATGGATTTTTTTTTTCTGGAATCACTTTAATTGAATTATATTATGATAACTATACACATTTAATTTACATATGTGGTCCAAATAAATTATTTCTAACAGAAGGCAATCTATCTCGAGGGAACTGAGCTTGTCGTATGATTACATCGTCTAATACGACAGACTAGTGGATAAAAATGAATAAAATTAGATAAGAATTACATGTGGATTGGACTACGTGGCCTAACAGAATTGAGCAGTTCGGGCAATCGAAAAGTACAAGCGAGCAGTTTGGGTAATCGAGAAGCCCATCTGGGTAGTTTTAGGCAACAATCTAACACCTCTATATAAAGGGTGATGTATGTTCATTTACATTCTAAATACTTAAGAGTTTATACTGTTATGCCACAAAATCTCGTACTGCTCGACTGCTCCTCTTGAACCCGGTTATGCCTCCTCGACCGCCAGTACTTGCAAAACATGCTGGGGGTGGTCCCGGCGAGGACGCTCCGACGCTCAAGTCAGTAGGATGTCCGAGAGAAAATGGCAGAGTATTGAGATGATGCGTATGTGTATGTGTGTTGTGTAAAAAGAATGAACCTGTGCCCCTTTCATATGTGAAGTTATGTATAGGTCGAAAAGTTATAACTGGAGACTTCTGGTGTCTACTTCTCGATTAGATCCACGATCTCCGAATCTCTTAGAGTCCTTAAGGTTGTAAACCTCCTCAAGATTTGATCACAAAGCTACCTCCGGGCCCTAGTCCTCTCAGCAGAATCCTTTGGTCGAGGCGCCTAGGTGCCCAAGTGCCAAGCTGCTTAGGAAATCACATCCGCCGAGCTCGCCAATTTCTGGCATTCCGCCTAACTTACCAACCTTTGGTATTCCGCCTAGCTAGCCCCCGCCTAGCTTACCAACATTTGGTATTCCGCCTAGCTAGTCCCCGCCTAGCTTACCAACCTTTGGTATTCCGCCTAGCTAGTCCCCGCCTAGCTCCCATTTTCACTTCAAAGGTACACCGAAGGACGGCCACACCGATCTCCTTCATCACCTGGGCGACCGTGCTTAATTGCGGCTAAACTCGATTGGCCTACGACCGGTCTTTCGTGAACTGCTACTTGTGGCTGTATCATATACACTATTGTTCATTGTTTTCATCACGCTGGATTGACCTAATCGTCGAAGTGCTAACACCGAAAGATGATACACTCTATAAACTCTAATAAATACTTAAAGAGTTTATACATTATTTTTCATTGTCTACATTATTTAAGATGATATAGTTCTCTCATTTTACAGAAAAAAGCACACACCACACCAAAAAAATCAGTAAAATATTCATATAAGCCCTAAAAAAAACACACACATCAATGGCGGCTTCAAATCCCGTTCACGTCGTGATTTTGCCGTTCCCAGCTCATGGCCACATCAAGCCGATGCTCATGCTTGCCGACCTCTTCACCGGCGCCGGCCTCTCGGTCACCTTCGTCAACACCGAGCACAACCACCGCCGCATCGCCGACCACCGCCGCCGCCGCCCCGCCGTTGAGTTCCTCCCCATCCCCGACGGCCTGCCGCCGGACCACCCCCGGTCGGGATTATCCATAATCGACCTCTGCTCTTCCATCGTCGCCGCCGGCGGTCCCGCCCTCAAGACCCTGGTCGCCTCTATGAGGCCGGCGCCGGCGTGCATCATCTCCGACGGGATGATGTCGTTCGCCGTCGATGTGGCGGAGGAGGTCGGGGTCCCGGCCGTCGCCTTCAGGACCTACAGCGCCACCTGCACCTGGACGACCCTTCATCTCCGGCGGATTGTCGAGGACGGCGAGATTCCGATTTCTCTCGGTAATTTGATTTAATTTTACCGGTAGGCCCATTTTTTTGTCGGTTTCTTTTCAGGTTCATGTGATTGTCTGACAAAAGTACCAAAAAATATAAACACGTTTTTGGCGACGAAATTATATCTGAAATACTATTTACCGCACCCATTTTCATTTTACCGCACCCAAAAATGACTAGTTTACCCTTACTA